ATATCAAGTTCCAAAATTGAAACAGAAATAAAACACCAACCAACCAAAAAAAGCCCCAGACGATACTGATTCCCAACCAAATTCTATCAGATGTACAAAGAAGAGCTGTTACCAATCCTACTGAAACAATTCCAAGAAACTGAAATGGAAGGACTCCTTCCCAACTCATCCTATGAATCTAGCATCATCATTATAGAAAAAAGCTGGCAGAGACAAAAGGGAAAAAGAAAACTACAGGCGAACATCCTGATGAACACAGACACAAACATCCTCAGCAAAATACCAGCAATCCGAATCCAGCAGCACATCAAAAAGTTAATTCACCACTATCAAACAGCTTTTATTTCTGGGATGATGCAAGGTTGGTTCAACATACACAAATCAATAAATGTAATTTACCACATAAACAGGATTAAAAACAAAAAAACATATGATCATCTGAATAGGCAAATAAAAAGCTTTTGATAAAATCCAATATCCCTTCATGATAAAACCCTAAACAAACTAACCATCAAAAGAATGTACCACAAAATAATAAGAGCTATCTATGAGAAACCCACAGCCACCATCATACCAAACAGGCAAACCTGGAACCATTCCCCTTGAGAACTGGAACAAGAAAAAAAAATGTCCACTCTTACCACTCCTTTTCAACATAGTACTGCAAGTACTACTCGAAGTAATCAGGCAAGAGAAAGAAAAAAAAAAGCACCCAAGTAGGAAAAGAAGTCAAACGATCTCTCTTTGCAGATAATACAATTCTATACCTAGAAAACTCTAAAGACTTGCCAAAAGCCTCCTTGAACTGGTAAAGAAAAAACTTCAGTAAAGTTTCAGGATATAAAATCAATGTACAAAAGTCAGTAGCATTTCTATACACCAAAAACATTTAAGCTGAGAGCCAAATCAAGATTGCCATCCCATTTACAATAGCGCACCCCCCAAAAAAACACCCTAAGAATACGTCTTACCAAGGAGGTGAAAGATATCTACAAAGAGAACTATAAAACACTGCTGCAAGAAATCAGAGATGACAGAAACAAATAGAAAAACATTTTACACGTATGGATTGGAAGAATCAACATCATGACAATGGCCATATTGCCCAAAGCAATCTAAAGATTAATGCTATTCCTATCAATCTACAAACATCATTCTTCACAGAATTAGAAACAACTATTCTACAATTCATATGGAAACTAAAAAGGGCCTGAATAGCCAAAGCTATCCTAAGCTAAAAGAACAAAGTCAGACGTATCACATTACCTGACTTCAAAGTATTCTACAAGGGTACAGTAACCAAAACAGCATGGTACTGGCACAAAAACAGACACATAGACCAATGGAACAGAACAGACCACAGAAATAAAGCTACACACCTACTACCATTTGATCTTTCACAAAACTGACAAATATAAGTAATAGGGAAAGGCTCCTCTATTCAATAAACGATGATGGGGTAAGTGGCTAGTTATATACAGAAGAATTCAGCTGGACCCCTACCTGTCATGATATACAAAAAGGTATAATATCCAGAATCTATTAAGAATCTAAATAATTTAACAAGCAATACACAAACAGCCCCAACAAAGAGTCGTCAAAGGGCATGAATAAACTTCTCAAAAAAAAAAAACATATAAGTGGCCAACAAATATATGAAAAATGTTCATCATCACTAATCATTAGAGAAACACAAATCAAAACTACATCTCATGCCAGTCAGAATTGCAATTATTAAAAAGTAAAAAATAACAGACGTTGGTGGGACTGCTGAGAAAAGGGAACATTGATACACCTTTGGTGGGAATTTAAATTATTTCAGCCACTATAGAAAGCAGTTTGGAGCTTTCAAAAAGAACCAAAAATAGAACTACCATTCGAACCAGTAATTCGATTACTGGGTATATACCCAAGGGAAGATAAATTGTTCTGCTAAAATGACACATGCGCCCATATGCTCATCACAGCATCATTCACAGTAGCGAGGATATGGAATTGACGTAGGTGTCCATCAATGGTAGAGTGGATAAAGAAAATACAAACCATGGAATCCTATGCAGCCATAAAAAAGAACAAAATCATGTTCTTTGTAATAACATGGATGTAGCTGGAGGCCATTATTTTAAATGAATTAACACAGAAACACAAAACCAAATACCACATGTTCTCACTAATAAGTGGGAGCTAAACATTGAGTACACATG